TGGAAAAAATATACATACATACATATATATATATACACACACATACACACACACACACACACACACACACACACACACACACATATATATTGCCTGCTGGTCTTAATGCTGTAGCTGACATTTCAAACCCAAGAATAGATTTCAAAAAGGAAAACCTAAGTGTCACCTTCTTGTTATCAGCTAAAAAGTGCTACACTATGTTTGTGGATGAAGTTACTTAGTAAAATTTTATATTACCTTTCTTCACCATTAATAAATAAAGATGCGGGGAACTAGGGGAAGGACGGGGTGGGTGGAGAGTTGGGGAGGGATAGATAACATGGGGAGAAATGTCAGATATAGGTGACGGACAGGAAGGCTGCAAACCACATTGCCATGTGTGTACCTATGCAACAATCCTGCATGTTCTTCACATGTACCCCAGAACCTAAAACGCAGTAACGTATAAAATAAATACATAAATAAAGATGCAACAGATAAGACTCAAGTTTAATCCAACTCCTTTTTCATCTTTCAGGTATACAAAATGTAAACTTGGCTAGGATCATAAAGAATCAGAAATGTAGATGATTTTACCCCAGGAAACCATGCTGAATATTGTCTATATTATTTTAAAAAGAGAGAGAAAAAGAGCCTATAGCTGTCACCCCTAACAGATTGTCTTGTTGCTGTTCCTGCCAACTTCTGAGGGAAAAAATATTTCCATTCTGTTCCAGTTTTCAACATAAGTAAATAAGGAAGTAATATGGCTGATTTCTGTTCTGGTGACTCAATATTAAGTTGGCTGAGGAAACTGATGTTTGCAGAAATAGTTCTGGGAACATGCAAAGTAGGGAAACACATTGATGACCAGGTGGTATTTTTTTTAAACCTCCAATTATATTGGGATATTAGTGCTTCATTCTCCATAATCAAATGTGTTCTAGGCTGCATTTACGGCTCATCCACTCTTCTCTGCCTGCACTGTCACAATTGGAAAACAGACAAGTTCCTACACCAGGCGCACAAATTGACAAAGCAGCATTCTGAATTGGCAAAGGGGAGAAAAAGCAAATGAAGAGCAGATTGTTAGCACTACCCTATCCTTTGCAAAGAACAAACACAAAGTTGTTCTGCCTAGACTCAAGCATTATTATAGGGATCTGTAACATAAAAAACGTTAGTGATATTCAAACAGAAATCACTATTTTGAGATCCACTTAATGTTTCTAACTAAAGTAGCCTTTATATTCCTAGAAGTATCTTGGAGCCATCACACACCTCATAACTAGCATTTGGTCAGCCTGAACCGAAACTTCAACATATTTTCGGGCACCCAGAGAAACATCATCTGTATTTATTGGAGCTTTGCTTTAAACCCAGATTATTTCAGTTATACCTACAACTTAACCCTGTTTGCCAAAGGTATTTGCTACATAGCTACTGGATGCAAATGACAAAAACGTCAATGAAACAGGCTTAGATTTGTAATCTACCCACACCGTTTTTTCTCCCTCTGTAGACTGAAATATCCTTCACTGTTTGAAACTCAGTATAATTAAAACAGAACTCCTCTCACCCTCAGATCTACTTGTTCAGCATATGTATAGCCTGGATAATAGCCAGACAATTATTCCAGTTTTGCAGTATCAAAACAGAAAGACAATCATGGCTCAGTGGTTAGGAGAATGGGCTCTACAGTTAAACTGTCTGATTCTACCCCTTGGTGAAGCCACAGGCTTGCAAGGCCTTAGTTGTCACATCTATTAAATAACAATAGTATTAACGTAACTGCCTCAGGGTAGTTGTGAGGATATGATGAACTAATGTGGGTAAATTATAAATATATGCTATTGTTATTATTCTACCTATGTTTTGCAGATAAGCCCTACTGTCCCTCTCCTCTGTCATATCCTTTTATCTCACCTCTGTATCCTTTCAATTGCAGAATGGATCTCCTTAACTCGAATCTTACCTCTACAATCTAACCAAACACCGTGACACTCAGAATTGGTCCTAAACACAAATCTGAGCAATTCAGGGTAATTTTACAATCTACTGGTGATTTCTCACTGCCCATGAGATAAGCTTAAAATTCCAATCTGGTATCTATAATTCTCCAAGATTAGATTCAGGTAGCAGAACAGAAAGGCATGAGAAGCCCAGTGGTGCACCTAAGCACAATAATTGCTTGTAGGAGGAATGAATGGATTTAAACATTAAGTCTGGTCTTTAGCTGTACCTCTCACAGATTAGCTATGATGTGCTTAGTTTCCTTACCTAGAGGTTATCATTATCATTCCTTTCTTTGCTTAAATCCTATAATCTACCCAGCTTTCCTGCCACAGCTCTAACCTTCAACTATGCTTGTTTTACTCTCCATTCTCTCTAAGTAACATTTCACCTTAACGTTCTGGATCTAGTTGTTCCTTTTGCTTAAAAATCTTTCTGCCCCTTTCCATCAATATCTTTCTGGGGGAAACTGTATCCTCTTTATAATATTTAACTTTAATTTCATTTTATTCAGGAAGCCCTTTCACATCTACCGTCTTGACAGATGAGTTTTTTTTTTTTCTCTGTCAGTCACCTAACACATTGAGAGTATGCTATTGTAAGACTTATCAGTTTTCCTCTTAGCAGTTAGTTATCCGTTCAAAAGACTGTAAGCTTAAAACCTTCTGTCCTTAGCATTGGGCCACTGCCTGTGGCAAGTGCTCAAAAGTTTGAGTTCAGACACTCATCAACGTGGTAGTCAGAAAGGTGTCTGCTGCAAACTTATTAACTTTCCAGAGCTTCAGGCTCTGGAAACTGTTGATGAAGAGACGTGAAGATAAGGAAAGACACCTCTCTTGGGTTTTACTAGCAGAACACTAGAGAATTTGACTGGTTTTCTCACTCTGTAATTTTTTAGACCATTATATAAAATTCATCGGTGGTGCGTGTTAAAGATGCAGATTTCTTGGCCCCACAGACTTACTGAATTGGGATATCCAGGGGATGCCTGGGCATCTGCTGTTTTGTTGTTGTTGTTGTTTTTGAGAGGAAGTCTCGTTCTGTCACCCAGGCTGGAGTGCAGTGGCGAGATCTTGGCTCACTGCAACCTCCGCCTCCTGGGTTCAAGCAATTCTCCTCTTCAGTCTCCCGAGTAGCTGGGATTATAGGTGACCACCGCCATGCCTGGTTAATCTTTGTATTTTTTTAGAGACAAGGTTTCACCATCTTGGCCAGGCTGGTTTTGAATTCCTGACCTTGTGATCCACCCACCTCAGCCTTCCAAAGTGCCAGGATTACAGGTGAGCCACTGCACCCCACTGGCATCTGCATTTTTAATGTGCATATAATTTTACTGATTTACAAATCAAACTCATATTTCTTTTACTGTCATGACAATACTGTAATTCAGTGATTCTCAAAGTGTCGTACAGGAACTCCTGGGTGTCCCTGAGACTTTTTCAAAACAATTTACATAGTATTAGAACATATGCCTTTTTCACTTTGCAGTCTCACACAACATGGTGCAATTTTCCAGAGGTTGCATGATGATTGGTATTGTAAGATAATGAAGGTAGAAGTTATGAAAATCTAGCTGTCTTTTATTTAGCTAGACATTAAAGAGATTTGTAAAAATCCATTGCCATTCTCAGTAATTTTTTGTTTTGGAAAATATCCTTTATAGAAATGCTATTTGTTAACATATAATAAGTTTATTTTAAAATGAATAACTTTTTTTAAAGTTGTTTTCTAAAATAGTAAATGTTGATAGCTATTATATATATAAACAAAACTCTGAAGTTCTCAATAAATTTTAAAGCATAAAAAAATTCTAAGATCAGAAAGTTTGAGAACTGCTGCTATAATTATCAGCACCATTTAAAAAACAGGTGGTTTCTCAAGATTCCATACTTTCGCTTCAAATTCTATGCAGTTTCCATTACGACAGAAAATCAGAGGAAATGATCCATTTTATATTTAAACGGGTTTTTATTTGTTTTTTGGAATTTTAACAAGCTTCCAGGTGATACTGATGAACCTAAATTTAGAGAACCATTGTCAAAAGCAAAGGAAAACATCTGAAGTTTTAGAAGTGACAATTACCCTATCTGGACATTAAGATGATAATTCCAAGGGCATTAAACAAAGTTGGAAAACGTCAGTTCTTAAAAGGCTAAGTCCCTTCACTTCTCTGGGATTCCATTTTTCTAATCTGCACAATAAGATTGATTTTAATGTCTTCCTAGCTCTGTCAGTCTGGATTTCATGCATTTTCACTGCTCAAGGGCAACAGAAGAGCTGCATGTTTCTGATGAGGGCCCAGGAGTAATCTTAAAAGTCATAAATAAGATCATGTCATTCATCTGCTTAAAAACCTTCAATAGCTTTCCACTGGGTTCCAAATAAAAATCAAACTCTATCCTTGCTCATAAACCTTCAAGATTTGGTGCTCAAGTCCCTGGCATCATCTCTCTCCATTGTCACCTTGTTCCTCTGGCTCTAGCCAGTGATCTTTTGTCTTTTCCTTGACTTTGCTAAGTTTGTTCCCACTATTATGGCCCTTGCACGCACTATTCTCTCTGCCTGAAATGCTTTACTCCAGATTTTCATACGGCTTATTACTCTCCCACTTCCGTATTACCCATTCTAAATTTCTTTACAGCACTTACTGCCACCTTAGATAATCCTGTTTGTTGACTTGTTTATAGTCTGCTTTGCGCTCTAGAACGTCAGCTGCTTGAGAGCAGGGTCCTTCTGTTGGTTCACTGATGTGTCCCTGGACCCCAGGGCAGTGCCTGGCAGGTAATTGGCTCTCAGCAAGTGTTTGATGACTGAACTCCCGCACTCAGGCCAGACTTCGCCTCTTGCACTCCCGACCCCGAGCCACAGGCTACCACTCACACCTCGGCGCTCCTAGAAGCCCCCTTTTAAGGACCCCAACGAAGCCGTCACTTACCTAACCATCGCCGAACTCCTTCCGGCCCCAGCGGCTTCCTAACCCGGAAGTTTTCTCGGACAGACGGACCCGCCTCTGAGCTGACCGAGTACTTCCGGGGCAGTAGGAACGCCGAGTCGGCGGCGGTGACTGTGCTGAGGGTGGCGGACGTCTAGGTGCGGAGCTTCCTGGGACGAGGCAGGAGGGGTGCGAGGTCCAGGGGCCGGACCCGGGCAGCCGAGGTCGCTAGGGATGGGGAGGAGGCGGCGATCTGACGGTGGGCGGCGGACATCTCCCGGCAGGGTCGAGGGCTGTGAAAGCGCTTTGGTGATTGAAGCGCCACGTTTGTCTGAGGAATTCTGGTCGTTGGCAGCTTCTGGCCACTTAGTTGGGAACGGACGTGGACACCAGGTCTCTCGTTTGGGACCCGTTCTTGGATGTGTGAAGACCTGGAGACAGACGTATTAATAAGGACACAAACCACCACCACACCTAAGAGCGGCTGTCAACCTGGGGGCGGTCACGTGCCGGTCACTGTTCCGAGCCCCTCACCTATCGCGTCATTGAATCTTTGTAGGGACCCAGAACCCCATTTGACAGTTGAGGAAGCGGAGAGCAGACAGTTGACCTGACTTCCCCACAATCGCTGCAGGGCAGGGAGAAAGTTAGCTCCAGAGCCCCTGCTCTTAGCTACTAAGCTGTACTGTTCTCCATTTTGGTAAATGGGGCAGGTAGGGGGGGAGTGTGTGTGTGTGTGTGTGTGAGCGTATGCGTTTTTATTTCTTAAAAATATGGCTCAGCCATTTAGTTTTATTTTTAATGTTCCAGTTATTGGAATCTTTCTCCTCCAATTGGGAAAATAACTGGAGAAGAAGCCACAATTATTTCTACACACTTGCTACACAATGCCTGGAAAACTTACAAAAAACTAAATAGTGCAGTTCCACATACTTGGTGTTTATTCCTTTTTTTTTTTTTTTAACCTTTTTCCTAGATATGAATGAGTTGAGAACAGAGATGCTGCAGTCATTCTAATAACGATGGTAATGATAATATAAACAGCTGTCATCATAACAGATTCCCTTCTGGCTTAGCTCAAATATCTGGCACAAATGAAGGAATAGAGATAACCAGTGTTTAATAATTTAGTTAAGGGACTCTTTTTGGCCCAGCATAGTGGCTCACGCCTGTAATCTTAGCACTTTGGGAGTCTAAGGCAGGGGAAGATTGCTTGAGGCCAGGCCTAGGGTTCAAGACCAATCTGGCCAACATAGCAAGACCGTCTTAGAAAAATTTATTTTGGCGTATGTCCTTCTAGTCTTTCCTGGAATTATATGAATTTTTGTAATATGTATATTATATATCCTACATATATACTATATCTAGTTATGATAATGATGTTTTGTAACCTGGAGAAAGTAAAGAAAAGATAGAAAACACGTATTCATTTACACAATAATTGAACTTTGTGCAAGAACTGTCTGGTCTTTCCTATTAGATAGGCTCTTGGAGTGAGTAGCTTACGTTAGTTCTCTATCTCCATAGGTACTGTGGTGCTACTTGGTATGTAGTAGGTACTCAAAAAATGTTTGCAGGTGAGTGAATGACTACTTCTAAGTTGTTTTGTATGTCAGTGAGTAGTTGTATCTGGACTTTTTTCTCTATGTGTTTTGGAAATATATAATGTGTTTATGTTATATACACATATATTCTTTTTTTTTTTTTTTCCAAGACACAGTCTTGCTCTGTCACTAGGCGCCAGGCTGGAGTGCAGTGGCGCAAGCTTGGCTCACTGCAACCTCTGCCTCCCGGGTTCAAGCAATGTTCCTGCCTCAGCCTCCCAAGTAGCTGGGACTACAGGCACATGCCACCACGTCCCGCTAATTTTTGTAATTTTTAGTAAAAACGAGGTTTCACCATGTTGGTCAGGATAGTCTCGAACTCTTGATCTCATGATCTGCCCGCCTCGGCCTCCCAAACTGCTGGGATTACAGGTGTGAGCCACCGTGCCCAGCCTATACCCATATATTCTAAACTCCATAGTGTCGTCTTAATCTACGTTTCTAGCTTCATGCCTCCACATTGTTATTCTCCCTGCTGTAGTAACTACTCCCTACTGTAACTGTCCATATTCCATAGTCAGATGTTAGGCCTTTGACTATGTCCATATGTTGTTTCCATATCCTTGAATCCTCTCCTTGGCATCATGGTCTGTCAAACTCATAAGCACCTTTTAAGGCAGTTGTTGCAAACTCAGAGGTTAATCAGGTACCACAATTTGAGTGAAGTAGATTTGGGTGGGGATTGTAGAGAGCTGGAGAGCAACTGCCAGGGCTAAAAGGGCCCAGCAGCTATTTGGCACAAGCACGATTACAAAGTTGAATGTGGGCCCAGTGTTCCTAGATCTTTCAGTTTTACAAGTGAGAAGTTGGAAACCTATATTTTTATATGAAGTATGATTTCTAAACGTTGGCAACTTATTTTTGCAAAGTTTACTGTGCAGGCCAAATAAAAACATCTGTAGGCAGGAAATGGCACTCAAAGTCCCAGTTTATGACCACTGCTCTAGGCTTACCTCAGGTACTTTATTCATGAATTACCTTCTCTGAGTCTAATGGAGTTCTTTTTGTTTTTTTCAGCATTTTGTGTATTGGAAGGTCAGGCAGGGATGTTTCAACGTTTCGTGTGTTGTACTGAATGCAGCATCTCAAATGCAGTGCTGCATCCAGTCTGCCTTAGTTTTAATATGCTTTTTTAATATGTTAGAAATATTTTGATGGCATGGGTTGGGTCCAGTTCTCCACTTAGTACATATCAGTACATACCTGTGGCATGTGTGTACATAAGTGTGAGACCTATTGGTTTCTACCCTGATAATTGTTGATTATGCTGGAAACTAATGTCTGTTCTTTGTGGAAAAACCAATAGTACCTTGGCTTTAATTGCCAAAGAGCTCTGCATTTGGAAGGAATTGAATTGAGTAACATTGGTATGCAGAAGTTGACATGACATAAATCCTATCTGATGGCTTGAATTTCATAATGTCCTGGAAAAATTGAGGTAGGAATGATTAATAACTAATGTGATTTTAAAGGAGAATCAGTAATAGGAAAAATTGATAAACTATATCTCATTAACATTAAAAACTTGCTCCATGAAAGGCCCTATGAAGACAGTTAAAAGATTGCTTTTAAAGGCTACAGACTGGAAAACGATTTGCAAAATCACATACTATACAGAGGACTTGAATTTAGAATATATGAAGAGTTCAAAATTCAACAGTAAAAAAGGAACCTCATTAGAAAGTGGGCAAAAGATACAAAGATATTTCACTGACGAGGAAATACAGATGGCATATTCACCCATGAAAAGATGTTCAACCTCACTAGGTCTTAGAGAAATGCAACTTAAATGCACAGTGAATCACCACACAAGTGATGCTGGCAAGAATGCAGAGAAATTTGATCACTTATACATTGCTGGTGGAAATGTAAAATGGTATAGGTAGTTTGGAAAAGATTATGGCAGTTTCTCAAAACTAAACATGAGCTTAACCATATGACCTAGCAATTGCACTCTTGGTCATTTATCCAAGGGAAGTGAAAGCTTATGTTCCCACAAAAACCTATACATGAACTTTCCTAGCCCTTTTGTTTATAATAGCCCCAAACTGGAAACCAATACAGATATCCTTCAGTAATGGGTAAATTGTGATACATCTATACTATGGAATACTACTCAGAAATAAAAAGGAAGGAATATTGATACACACAACTTAAATGGATCTTGAGGGGCTTGTGCTGAGTGAAAAAAGTCAGTCTCAATAGGTAATATGCTGTATGATTTCATTTATATAACATGTTGAAATGACAAAATTACAGACATGGAGAACACCTGTCCATCAGAGAGATCAGTAGTTGCTTTGGGTTGGAAGGAGTGTGAGAAGTGGTTATGGCTAAAAAAGGATAGCACATGGGATCCTTGTGATTGAACTATTCTAAATCTTGATTGTGGTGATAGTTGCACGAAGCTATACATGTGATAAAATTTTATAGAACGAAATACAAATGAGTATGTGTAAAACTGGTGAAATCTGAATGAGATCAGTGGATTGCATCAGTATCAGTTTCCTGGTTATGATAATATATTTGTGTCAGTTTTACCATTGGGAGAAACTGGATGAAGGTGTATAGGATCTCTGTATTATTCCTTATACTTGTATGTGAATCTATGATAATCTAAAACTAAAAAGTTTAAACAAATACTTTATACCAAAGAAGCCTATATAAATGTATGTGTTTTTTTGTTTTTTTTTGGTGGGGGCTTTCATTTTACCAGGTGATGTCCTAATCATGTCAGATAAAGATAGTATTGAGACTCCACTGCTAACTGAAGCAGCCCCCATCCTTAAAGATGGAAACTGTGAGCCAGCCAAGAATTCTGAGTCCGTTGACCAAGGTGCCAAGCCAGAGAGTAAATCAGAACCTGTGGTTTCTACCCGGAAAAGACCAGAGACCAAACCTTCCAGTGACCTTGAGACTTCAAAAGTTCTCCCTATTCAGGTATCACAGACTGCAGGCAAAATAGAGTATTTATTAAAGTATTAAGGTTTAAAATGTTGGGGCTAAAGGATATTTGGCATAAATACCAATTTTGGATTGCACTTATTTCTTTCTCTTTACAAATCTCAAATATAGTCATTTCAGTTCTATAAATGCCTTTATGAGTAATTGTTTTTGCTATGTGGTACTGACTGTCTGCCAGTCAAGCAATACATTTCTTTAGCTAAATAATATGTATTTGTTCACCCATGCTTTTGGCTAGTAATTAGATACCTTGTCTGTACATGCTGATATCCCTCTAATTTTTTCATTTTTCTTGCCTTTCGTTTTTCCTTCTACTGGGAAATTAGGATACTGTTTCCAAAGATGTACCCCAGACCAGATGGGGTTATTGGGGGAGCTGGGGCAAGTCCATACTCTCCTCAGCTTCAGCTACAGTAGCCACAGTAGGTAAGATCATCAGTCACTTAGTTATTTTTTTTATGTGTTTTATACAGATCTGTGTTGCAGATGACTTTATTAATAATTCTTCTTCCAGACTTTATAGTTTGAGGATGCATTAGTAATGATGGGCTGATTTATACTGCCACTAGAGTTTGCAGCATTTCCTCATTAGAATGTTAAGTCTAGGAATTATTACTGTAAACTTAGTCTTTGTTGATGAATCAATTTTTTTAAAGGAGATAGTGCCAAGATTAGTTATATATTGTCAAAATAACATGTCTTCTGGTCATAAATGATTTTAAAAATCTTCAGGTTTGATTTTTGGTTTGTTTCTTCAGTTTTGGTGACTAATAGCAAAACAAAGTTATCATTTTTTCTCATTAGGACAAGGTATTTCAAATGTCATCGAGAAGGCAGAGACTTCTCTTGGAATCCCTAGTCCCCATGAAATTTCAACTGAAGTCAAGTATGTAGAAGGTCAGTATATAGAAACATAAAGACCTAGAATTATGAATTGAAATCGAACGGTTGAACTAATTTTTCAGTAGGCATTTATTGGACATCTGATACTCAGGGTTATCATGGGACTGTGGTGAGAAAGAGGATTTAGAGTCTTTAGACCCCTGTTAGACGTCTGTGTCCTTTAACTTCTGATGTCTCTTCGCTTTCCACATCTGAAATAGGATATTTTATATCTCAAGTGACTGTTAAAAACATTTAACAAATAAAGCCATGAATATACAATATAAAAGTTGCTTAGCATTTTGCTTGGCATAATTGAGTAACAGAACAGTAAGAGTTAGCTGAATCTGCACCCCAGATCAAATGGGGTTATTGGAGGAGCTGGGGCAAGTTCATTCTCTCCGAGTCTGTTGTGAAACAAGAAAAATATTTTAATGTATTGCTTTGGAGGTGTATTCTTGTGTTTGGATTTTTATGAAGACTAAGTTTAATTCTAGAGGCTTGCCTTAATCAGACAGGAAACCTAATCTCAGACCATGAAAGCTAGAATTATAACCAGAAATCAAAAGGGCCTGGGACCGGAAAATAGGAATCTTTTTAAGGCCTGGTTTGCATTCTTCATCTTTAATGGGCTTTATTGTCTCTCACTCTTGTTTCTTTTTGCTGATCTGTCTCAGTTTTTTTCTTGAAGCTGACTGACTTTTGCTGCTTATTTTCCTCAGCTCCAGCTTTATATTGAATCCTGGCCTCAGTTATTTCCACTTCTGAATTCCTAGGTGAAAGAATTAGATTGGTCGAAACTTGGGTCATATGTCCATAGATTAGTTATGGCCAAGAGACAAGTCACATTGTATGAACATGGCTGCAAAGGACTATGTATGTGAATTGGAGGCACCGTTCTTAGTGATGCCTGCATCAGTTAAACTGTTTTAGCTGCAAGTAACAGAATATGTAAATGAAAGAAAATATATTTTTCTCTACTCTAGAAGTAGGCTGTTCAAGAGTTAGTTTAGTGGCTCCATGATGTCAAGGTTCTGGGCTGGCTTCTCTACAGTATTCTTTGTTGATTTCTTTATACTTTCTTTATGGTTGTCCGATAATAATACAACTCCAAGTATAGTGTTCTAAAACAACCATGCTCAAAGTCTGGAATGAAGTAGATGGGAAGTGTCATGTCTCCTCATGCATCCCTCTTTCTTTAAAGAGGGGAAATGTTTTCCAGCAGTCCCAAGCATGTTTCTTCTCGAATGCCATTGCCTAGAACAGGATTTCATTTTCTCGATGTAGCAGCAAGAAGTGCTGAGAGAGTGAATCTTGGGCATTATGGGAAACCTCAAGATCAGGATATGGGTTTAGCAGGCAAGAAAAAAGGGGATTAGACGTGGCTTTGAATATGTAAACAGCAGCATCTTCATGGCATTGAAAGATGTCTACCACAGAGAGCCATGTTTTAAGAAGGGATTTGAAAAACTGGGTGAATTCTGAAAAGAGTGGGCTAGATAATGTAAATCAAAAAGTATCCCAGACGGGTCTCAATCAAGTTTAAGGTTGAGGACGCACCTGGTAAAAAGGAACACAAACCACAGAAACAATCTGCCTTTCATACTTTTTTTGAAGAGGATATGAGGACTTCAATATTTAAAGGAGAAAGAAGGGGCTGTAGGGGAAAGAGGAAGAAAAAAAAGGGAAAGGTAGATAAAGGGGGCAAGTGGTTACCTTCTTTTGAATCTTTGATCAGTGTTCACTGAATCCACATTTTACGAGTAAAAGGAAAGAGCAGAGGTAGAGTCAATTATGCATTTGTCTTATGCTCAGCAAATTGGCAGTTTACATGAGATAAAATAAACGTAGAGTAGCTACCTGTGGAAACATCTGGCCTTCTGTCTGGCCTTTCTGCTTAGGAACAAAAGGAAAGGCAGTTTTTTGTGTAACTTAGCCTTCAGGTTAACTTTTCCCTTTGGCATAGTAAATGTGGGGTCCTGAAATTTTATTTTCTTTCACAATAGTGAAATGTCTAGAATTAAAGTCTTAGAAAGTTGAAGGAATTATGATTATTGAATCTTGTAATCTGGAGAAGGGAGATTAGGAGAATATACTAGTCCTTTTCATAACTTGGAAGACAGCATGGAGAAGAGGATTTAGGTTTATTATTTATGGTTTATGGGGAGAGAACTAATAACTAGTACCACTCAGTGGAAGTTATATGGAGTTAAGTTTTAGTTTAATAAAAGAGTTTAACAGGGAGAACTTTCCAGAATTGCAATGGACTGCCTTTTGATACTAAGCCCCTGGTATCTACTAAAGTTCCTGAGGAAGGAGTTAATTCCTCTGCCAAGGATATGTCTTGTAGTCAACATGTATCTTTTGAGAACTTTTAGATAAGCATAGGCCACTGATGGAAATCATTGATCATCTGTTAGGGATTTTTTTTTGTCTTCCTTTAAATGGTGCTATCTTCTGGTTTGCTTCTGTTGGCAGGCAGTTAAGGTATCTGCAACTTAAATTGATGCTTTTAAGGTTGTTTTTTTTTTTTTTTTTTTTTGAGATGGAGTCTCACTCTGTCACCCAGTCTGGAGTGCAGTGGTACAATCTCAGCTCACTGCAACCTCTGCCTCCTGGGTTCAAGCTGTTCTCCTTCCTCAGCCTCTCAAGTAGCTGGGATTACAAGCATGCATCACATCTGGCTAATTTTTGTATTTTTAGTAGAGGTAAGGTTTTGCCATGTTGGCCTAGTCGGGTCTCAAACTGCTGACCTCAATGATCCTCCTGCCTTGGCCTCCTTTTAAAGTGCTAGGATTACAGGCATGAGTGAACTGCCATGCCTGGCCATAGCATTTTTTTAAAAGCTTGTTTAGGGTGAGTCTAGAGTAGCCTTTACTCTAAGTACTATTTATCCCTACTGCTAAGTCTTGACTCTTCTGAAGTCTCCACCTTAATTCCCAGGTGTTTAATAATGTCTCTGTTTTGGTGGGTTGGAAGTCAAATGTCTCTCAATCTAGCATGAGCTCTAGGGATTGTTTAGCTTACAGCTCTGTTCTAGTTCTTTGTATAGATTTATGGAGTCTCCCAGTGCCGGAGCAGTGTAGTATTTAAGCAAAAATATCTAAAGGTGTCTTTGGGCATGCCTATACAGATTCATATCTCTTTAGCCATGTGGCTTCCTTCTCTGTGGTTTTTGACCTGCAAATTCCAATTGCTTTAGCATACCCAGATTCCAGTCTGTATTTCTTCCACTCACACTGATTGCCATGCCCCACTTGGGTTTCTCTTCCATCTGTCATGGTCTGGAAAGCTCCTCTATATAGAAAGCCAAGCCAATTGTAAGGTTCATTTATTTATTTATTTTTCTTGTGTGAACCAAAGCCTTGTACTGCTCATTGTCCTATGTCTGAAGACAGTTGCTTCTTATATATTGTCCAATTTTTCAGTTGCAACAGAGGGGCTTATCTAATACCATGGCTGGAAGTGGAAGTCCTCTCTATAACAGAGTATTTCATATACTTAAATTATTTGGTGTAATGGTTCTTTTCTTGTGTGAGATTTTTAAAGTTAATAGATTATTTTTTTGAAACATACCCATTTTCATATGTCCTTTTGATTTTTATAAAATAGACTGGATTTTTAAAAATCAGGTTTATTTTGTTATAATTTATACACAGTCAAATTTATTCTTTTTAAGTGTACAGCTTTACATGTTTTGACCAATATATGTATGCTTCTGTTTATACTGTGTAATCATAGTACCCTGTGATTATACAGATATAGAAAACATTCTATATAGAATTATCAGTACAGTTATATAGAATGTTTTCTATATCTGTATTGATAATTGGGACATAGAATATTTTTATTATCCCGAAAGAGTTCTCTCATTCCCATTTGTAGTCACTCTGTTCCACTTACTCTCAGTTCTTAGCAATTACTGATCTCTTTTCTGACCTTATAGTTTGACTTTGTCCAGAAGAATATATAATTGGAAATCATACAGCATATAGTCTGTTGTATATATCAGCAGTTTGTTTACAAAACTGGATTTTATTTTTGAAATGAAATAAAAATGAAAACTGTCTATCTTAGCTTTTATTTTAGAATAAGCAAATGGTTTAAAAAGATAAAAAGGGCTAAGACCTGTGTGTAGGAAACAGGGTCTAGTTTTAAAAATTTCACATAGATGCTAATAAAGCAAAAGAGTTAAGGGACCTTTCCTTCATGTTTACACATCCCCTTCCTCTTGTAGGAGAGACAAATGCCAAAGAGAATAAAAACTCCTCCCCAGTGGCCGGGCCGTTTGGTGTATTCTCGACCATCTCTACTGCTGTTCAGAGCACAGTAAGTAAGAAAGTGCAAGGTGGCCTGTTCCCTTCCATTATAGTAATGGGTTTGCATATCTTTCTGTCTCTTTTCTTTGGATGGTCTTTAGACTGATTACTGTTAAAGGGGTTCAAGCCACTGAAGATCAGTCACTTTGATCTTATGGGTGGAGTGAATGCTACTTGAAGACATTCATGAAAGCAATAAAGAAGAAAGTAGGAAATAAAGGAGTAGCAATAAATAAGGGAATAGGAGTTACAGAGAGCCAATAGACATATTATTTTATGGATTAGGAATTTTTAATTTGGAGGCCCTAGAAAATGCTTTACAAAAATATTTTTCTCATAATTGCATTTTTTGGACAAAGGGGAAATGTGATCTTTGTGACAGATATTTGCAAAACTGTGATTAAAAACATTTGTAAAGGATTATCTAGGAAGCTAAAAGTCTTTCCTACATAAGGATAAATAGCTATTTTTTTATTTTAACTTTTTATTGAAATATACACGCAGAAGAATGAAATAATAAGTGTTGTTTGAATTTTCAGTATGAAACACCCAGACTAAGAAACAGTGTTATCGTACGTCAGATCCCCCCACCGTCTTGTGTCCTCTCCCCATTTTCTGTGCCTTCCTCTCTTCCATTCTCCTGTACCATGAGAACCATAATCCGGACTTCTGCTATCATAGGTTAATTTTGCCTGCATTTCAGCTTTATATAAGTGGAATTAGATATATAATAATCTAGCTTCTTTCAGACAACATTGTGTTTGTGTAATTTATGGTGCAGTTTGTGTGGTAGATTCAGTTTTCTTTGTTAAATTTCATTGCGAAGCTTTGTCACATTTTATTTGTTCATTCCACAGTTGGTGAGCATTGGGGTAGTTTTCAGTTTGTAGCTATTACAGACAGAGCTGTTATGAACATTTTTGTACATGTCCTCTGATGAACCTCTGTACTTAATTTCTGTTAGGATGTAACCATGAGTGGAATTGCTGGGTCATGCACCTGTAGTAGATATTGACAGACAGTTTTCCAATGTGTTTATACCTATTTACATTCCCGCAAGCAGTGTATGATTGTTTTATTTGCCTTACATTCTTACCAATGCTTCGTATTGTTAGCCACTATTTTTATATAATAAAAATATGCAGATGTGTTTTCTCAATATTGTTGTAATGAGGTTGCATGTGTTTTCTAGGGAAAGAGCGTTATCAGTGGGGGTTTGGATGCCTTAGAATTCATTGGAAAAAAGACAATGGATGTGATAGCAGAAGGAGATCCTGGATTTAAAAGAACCAAGGGTCTGATGAACCGAAATGCTACACTATCTCAGGTACTGATTATCTTTACCTGTTTACTTCCTGTTTCTGTTTTTGCCTTTGTTTACTTGGGACCTTGTGTTGTCTTTGGAAGAATTTTCAATAATTTTTTTATTAAGGCGTTTTTTGGGGGGTCAGGGAGGGATCATTGAGAGCTCTAATGCTTACAAAATACCCAGCTCTTTGTTCCTCCTCTTTCCTTTTGCATGAGCCTCCCATCAGTGCAGTGCCAAATGCTAAACCCTGTCAGGTTTTTTGTTTGTTTGTTTGTTTTTTAACTAGATTAATGTTTAAGTCATTTTCAGCAAAACACTTGGTTCCTTGGGTGTTATTTCACTGTCTGGGATCAAATTATGTGGTCATCCGGTGGCTCACGTCTTTTATCCCAGCACTTTGGGAGGCTGAGGGAAGCAGATCACTTGAGGTCGGGAGTTTGAGATCAACCTGACCAACATGACAAAACCCCATCTCTTCTGAAAATACAAAAATTAGCTGGGCGTGGTGGCGTATACCTATAATCCTAGGTATTCTGGAGGCTGAAACAGGAGAATAGCTTGAACCCAGGAGGCAGAGGTTGCAGTGAGCAGAGATTGTGCCACTGTACGCCAGCCTGGGTGACAGAGCGAAACTGTCTCAAATTATTTGTGATCATTTTTCTTTCTGCAGCTCCTGAGCCTACCAGATTTGAATTGTAATGCCAAGAATAAAAGGCCAATCCTCTGTACTGTAACTTGTCTCATCTTTCCTTCCTTCAGTTCTCAAAACTGACCCTTGAGCTGTCATTATTTGCTACAGTGTAATGCCTCTATCTCTTTTTAGGTTTTACGAGAGGCGAAGGAGAAAGAAGAGATATGGACCTCCAATGAGGTTACCATGGAAACAGACAAGAAAACTCATTATGGGCTACTCTTTGATGAATTTCAAGGCCTTTCACATCTGGAAGCTCTGGAGATGCTTTCCCGAGAAAGTGAAATAAAGGTAATTCCAAGCCAAAATCTCAACTGGAAAAAGCCTTCAAGTAAAAGAATGCTTCATAGTTTTTTTCTCTTTGTACATTTGGAAGATGAAATGTATTTTTGATAGAGACTTGAGATGCCCTGGAAATACTACTACAAAATAAATTGAAAAAACTAATGTTTGATTGAGCTAATTGCTAGAAATAGAATTAATCAAGTATTAGTTCTGTAAATTTAAACAAAAAAGACAGATTAACAGGTCGTAATAGGACATTTATTATTTTTCCTTTTTTTTTTTTTTTTTTTTAACTTTCTTTGGCTTAGGCTGGCAAGAAATCTGTTGACTTGAGCTGCCAATTTGTGTATGGTTACCTGTTACCTTTTAATTGATTCAAGATTATCTCATTTTTCTGTGATTTCTAAGCTGTTGTTAAGCACTAATAATTTCCAGGCATTTCTGGCTGGTATTACTTTTAGAAGTACAGATTCTCCCTACCTTCCTGTCATAACCAGCCTCTTGTGTTAAGGTTCTTATGGAATAACTTGTGCTGGCTGGTGAGCTCATAATTTTGACTTCAATTTGATCTACATATAGTCTCTTCCCTTTTTGTGAATGTTTTTCTTTTCTTTCATACTCCTACAACATTTTATTCTTATATCCATCCAGGTGAAATCTATCCTTAATTCTCTAAGTGGAGAAGAATTAGAGACTCTAAAACTTGAATTAGAGCATCTCAAAGAAGCATTTTCTCTAGCAGAATTTTGTGAAGAAGAGGAAGAAGAGATAAAAGGTAATATGAAAATTTAGTATCTAAGTGGAGAGGATGCAGTGTGTTTGTATGCAGTGCATTGCTCTTGAAATAAATTATCTCTGGTTATACTGGCTTGATTTTACTTTTTTAGTGAGGTTTTTTTTTTGAGACAGAGTCTTGCTCTGTCGCCCAGGCTGGAGTGCAGTGGCGTGATCTTGACTCTTCAGTGAGATTTTTTATGCAAATAATCTGTATAAAGTTCTCTGCGGTCTTGCACCTGACTACGCATTGATGGGGGCAGTTGGCCTTATGCCAATGTCTCCCTACCTCCTTCCAACCAAATTCTTTGTGGCTTCTCAAAGTCTAATATTGCAACTCACTTCTTTGCCTGTTTTTCAGTTAGAAAGCTGCTCCCGTCTCTTGCCTCAGTTTGACTGGTCATTCATATGAGCTTTTATATTCCTAGGTACTTTACCTCTGCCTCTCTGACTCTTGTAACTCTTGACTCGGTCTTGAATTGAGGCATGCAGGATGGCAATTATCTAAAATGTGGGTGATAGTTTGTCTTTTTTTATTTGGAAAACTCTTACACTATATTTTAATAGCTGCATTTCTCAGAAAAGTGCCACTTTTATTTAATCTTGTCCTTGATGAAGAAGTAAAAATTATTCATTTTATTAAATCTTGACCTTTAAGTATACATCTTTCAAATATTCTGTGTGATGCCTACTGAAGTATGATGGTTGTCTCAGGAAAAGCACTTATATTATTTGAGTTGTGAGCTGAACTATATGCCTTCTTCATGGAATACTATTTTTACTTGAAAGAATAACAGTCACATAGACTATTCAGAATAGGATATTTGACAGACATTTTTCTGAAAATTAATGAAGAGAGCCTTTTCTTTAAGGAAAGCAACTAACTTATTTGTGACTCATGATAAAAATTTAAATGAAGGTTAAAACTTTGTAAAATGTATTTGCTACTGTGGTGAGCTTGACAGCTTTCCCGTGCTTACAGACTCTGCTGATGAAGTTGGTGGTGATCATATGTTAACAAATATGATCTGTGTTTTAACAGATATGTTTTGACAAACATGATCACTTTTTGATATTTTAGAAACAACTATGATGACATTTGGAAAACCTGCATAACTCAGAGAACCAATGTTTTCTAAGTATCAGATCATCATGGGTAAAAGACCTAATGGATTTTAATTTAGTGTACAAAATTTTATGATATGGTTTCAGGTATATTGCAATATGTTCATTACAACTCATTTTTAAGAAATGACCACTTGCTGAGTTTTGGGATGGTATTAAAGAATATTAATAATCATCTGAAAATGCTATTGAAATACTTCTTCCCTTTCCAACTATGTATCTTTGTAAAGTTGGATTTTTCTTCATGTACTTAAACAAAGCAACATAACAGACTGAATATAAAAATAGATAAGAGAATTTAGCTATCACCTGTTAAGCCAGACATTAAAGAGATTCAACCATAATGTTAAATGGTGGCACTATTCTCACTAAAAGTTTTCGTTTTTCAAAAACATAGTTTTTAAAAATAAAAAGTATGTTATTTATGTTAATAGGTAATGTGAGTTTACTGTTTTTAATGAATTAATAAACAGTTTTATATATACATTTGTATATGTATATGTGTGTACATACGTGTATATATGTACACACATATATACATATATACAAACATGTGTATATAGTGTACATATATACATATATGTATGTATATATGTATATATGTGTATATATATACACACGTATATATATATATATATATATATATATGTATGAAACTTACACTAAAAAAGCTATTTGATGTTCTCAAAAAGTTTTAAGAGTACAATGAGGTCCTGAGACCAACATGTTTGAGAATTAGTAGATTAAATTACCTAAACTGCAGTGCTTTAAAAATGTATCTGATTGCTTTTTAGAATTATACATCTTTATTTCTTTCTGTTCATTTATCTGTTCATCTTTTACTTCACTGTTAGTGAGCTGGCTTCTGACGTCCTCTGAATCTCATTTGTTTTTCTGTTTCTAATCTGTGGGTGAGAAACCAGATGACTAGTTTTATTCGAGTTGTCCATTAAGAGCCAAGAGCTCTCAGTGAGGGTCTTAAGAGTCTTTCTTGTGACAGAAAACATAAAGTGAAGTATGTGGATTCTCTACAAACAGGGACTTTTTTTTTCTTTTTCTTTTAAAATCAGTTGAGAAGAAAGATACATTTGTATCATTTATAATTGCATAGTTATCTTTACTAGTGCTCTTTGTCTTTTATTTTTTTTCAAAGTTTTTTTATTTTCATAGGTTATCGGGGAACAGGTGGTGTTTGGTTACATGAGTAAGTTCTTTAGTGGTGATTTGTGAGAATTTGGTGCACCCATCACCTGAGCAGTATACACTGCACCCAATTTGTGGTCTTCTATCCTGCACCCCCTTCCCATCTTTTCCCTCCGAGTCACCAAAGCCCATTGTGTAATTCTTATGCCTTTACATCCTTGTAGCTTAACTCCTACTTATGAATGAGAACAGATGATGTTTGGTTATCCATTCCTGAGTTACTTCACTTAATATAATAGTCTCCAGTCTCATCCAGGTCACTGCAAATGCTGTTAATTCATTCCTTTTTATGGCTGACTAGTATTCCTTTGTGTGTGTGTGTGTTTATGTGTATCACAGTTTCTATCCACTTGTTGATTGATGGGCATTTGAGTTGGTTTCACGTTTTTGTAATTGTGAATTGTGCTGCTATAAACATGCGTGTGCAAGTATTTTTTTCATACCATGACTTCTTTTCCTCTGGGTAGATACCCATTAGTGGGATTGCTGGATCACGTGGTAATTCTACTTTTGTTTTTTTTTTTAAGGAATCTCCGCTCTGTTTTTCATAGTGGTTGTACTAGTTTACATTTCCATCAGCAGTGTAGAAGTGTTTCTTGTGCACTACATTCACTCCAACATCTATTATTTTTTGATTATGGCTATTCTTGAAGGAGTCAAGTAGTATCACATTGTGGTTTTTATTTGGATTTCCCTGGTTATTAGTGATGCTAAGCATTTTTTCATATGTTTATTGGCCATTTGTGTATCTTCTTTTGAGAATTGTCTATTCAGGTCCTTAGCCTACTTTTTGATTTGTTTGTTTTTTTCTTACTGATTTGAGTTCATTGTATATTCTGGATATTAGTCGTTTGTCAGATGTATAGATTGTGAAGATTTTTTTCCTACCCTGTGGGTTGTCTGTTTACTCTGCTGACCCTTTGGCCATGCAAAAGCTTTTTATTTTAATTAAGTTGCAGCTATTTGTATTTGTTTTTATTGCATTTGCTTTTGGGTACTTGGTCAGGAAATCCTTGCCTAAGCCAATGTCTAGAAGGGTTTTTCCAATGTTGTCTTCTAGAATTTTTATAGTTTCAGGTCTTAGATTTAAGTCCTTGGTCCATCTTGAGTTGATTTTTATATTAAGGTGAGAGATGAGGATCTAGTTTCATTCTCCTACACGTCACTAGTCAATTATCTCAGCACCATTAGTTTAATGTTTTTGTTTGCTTTGTCGAAGATCAGTTGGCTTTAAGTATTTGGGTTTATTTCTGGGTTCTCCATTATGTTCTGTTGGTCTGTTTGCCTATTTTTATACCAATACCATGTTGTTTTGGTGACTATGGCCTTATAATATAGTTTGAAATCAAGTAACGTGATGCCTCCAGATTTATTCTTTTTGCTTAGTCTTTCTTTGTCTGTGTGGGCTTTTCTTTGGTTCCATAAGAGTTTTAGGATTTTTTTTTTCTAGTTCTATGAAGAATGGTGGTGGTATTTGGTAGGAATAATGTTGAATTTGTAAACTGTTTTGGGCAGTATGATAATTTTCACAATGTTGGTTATACCATCCATGAACATGGGATGTGTTTTCATTTATTTGTATCGTCTATGATTTCTTTCAGCAGTGTTTTGTAGTTTTCCTTGCAGAGGTGTTTCATGTTCTTGGTTGGGTATATTGCTAAGTATTTTATTTTTATTTTTGCAGCTATTGTAAATGGAGTTGAGTTCTTGATTTGATTCTCTGCTTGGTCACTGTTGGTCTGTAGAAGAGCTACTGATTTGTGTACATTAATTTTGTATGTGGAAACATTGCTGAATTCTTTTATCAGTTCTAGGAGCTTTCTGGAGGAGACTTTAGGATTTTCTAGGTGAGCAGTCTTATTACCAGCAAACAGCAACAGTTTGACTTCCTCTTTACTGATTTGGATGCCCTTTACTACTTAATCTTGTCTGATTGCTCTGGCTAGGACTTTCAATACTGAGTTGAAGAGGAGTGGTGAAGTGGGCATCCTTGTCTTCCATTTCTCAGAGGGAATGCTTTCAACTTCTCCCCATTCAGTATTATGTTGCCTGTGGGTTTGTCATAGATGGCTTTTATTACATTAAGGTATATGTCCCCCTTGTATGCTGATTTTTTGAGAGTTTTAATCATAAAGGGATGCTGCATTTTGTTGAATGCTTTTTCTGCATCTATTGAGATGATCATATGATTTTTGTTTTTAATTCTACTTATGTGGTGTATCACATTTATTGGCTTGCTTTTTTTTTTTTTTTTTTTTTTTTTTTGAGACAGAGGTTTAGCTGTATTACCCAGGCTGAAGTGCAGTGGTGCGATCTCAGCTCACTGCAGCCTCCACCTCCTGGGTTCAAGTGATTCTCTTGCTTCAACCTCCTGAGTAGCTGGGACTACTGGCATTAACCACCATGCCCAGCTAATTTTTGTATTTTTACTAGAGTCGAGGTTTCATTATGTTGGCCAGGATGGTCTTGATATCTTGACCTCCCAAAGTGCTGGGATTACATACAGGTGTGAGCCACCACGCCCGGCCCTGACTTGCATATGTTAAACTATCCCTGCATCCCTGGTATGAAACTCATTTGATCACGGTTGGATTATCTTTTTGAAATGTTGTTGGATTTGGTTAGCCAGTATTTTGTTAAGGATTTTATGCTTATCAGGTATATTGGTTTGTA